AGCTTTTGGTTCCCTGACCTTAAATTTCAGAAATATGAACAAAAATGTACAAAACAAACGTGTATAAAGAATTGAATGTTTATTGAGCACTTACTAGCTGCATGGGCCATGCTAGATGCCTTACACACATGATCTCATTTAATTCTCCAAAAATCCTTTAAAGAGTAGGTACCACTATCACCCTATTTTATAAGTGGGGAAACAGAGAGATTGAGGAATGTTGACATAAGGAACATGTAAACCCGTAGAGAATTTTTATAAGAGTTTATTTGAGCCAAACTGATAACATATGTGGGGAGCGAACTCTCAAATATCCAGAGAATAACAGTTTTGCAGTTTTTATGCATTTGAGATTAAGGAGGGACCATAAGGAAGCTTACATGAAGGTGTAAGAAAGCAAAGTGGGGATTGGATTACAAGTTAGTGAAGATTATGTGCTCTCATGTTTTAGAAGTAGTGAAAGGGGGGCATTTCAAAGGTGTGTTAACCTAGATGCACAGAAACAATGGACAGGGCTTGCTTAAGGCAAAGATAAATCTTTTATAGGCCTACCCACCATGACCTGCCCATTTAAGAATTTATGATCAAGGGCCGGCTGAGTGGCTCAGTTGGTTAAGAGCTCGCTCAAGAGTTTGAGCTCTGAGCAACAGTGGTTCGAGTCAGCCCGAGCTGAGCAGCCGCGGAGCTGCCAACAGGTGGTGGGATGGCTCAGCTAAAAAAAAAAAACAAAAACAAAAAAACAAAAACAAAAAAACAACAACAAAAAAAGAATTTATGATCAGATCACCCTGTGAGGTTACTTTTCATAAAACCAACCCCTTCTTTTGTCCACAGCAACTTGCTCAAGGTCACACAGCTTCAAAGGGATGAACTTGACTCTTCTGAGATACAGGGAGAGAAAAAAGAAATGAGGAAGAAAGGAGAGCCAAGGAAAGCGAGGGAGAGAAAAAGATTGGAACAACCACTGTGCCGAAGGGAAGAGAATTAGTCAAGAGGAGCAGCAGCTCACAGTGGCCCATGGGGGATCAAACCAGCAACCTTGGTGTTATCAGCACTATGCTCTAAACAACTGAGCTAACTGGTCATCCCAAGAGGAGTTTTAGGAAGTTGCACTGCGTGTTGTGAGGCTCGTAGAGCCGGATGCTAGCTTGCTGGCTTGTGTGTCGTGCATTCTCAGCAGAGGCAGGCCGCAAGGTAGCTCTGTTAGAGTCAGCTTACATTTTGGAGATAACTGTTTCAGATTTTAGAGCTAAGGTTCCATATTCAGCTCTAACTCTGATTAAGTCCCTAGACCTGAGCAAGTGTGCTTTCCAGGGTGCCAGGGTTATGGTACAAAAACTCAACAGTTGAGATATAAGATGTGGTTGTACTTATAAATCATGGCAAAAGTGTAAACCATACCTTGGTAGGATATGCCATCCTGTACTAAATGTATCAGACAGATACATAGTGTTACATATACATCAGACAGATGCATATTGTTATAGTGTTATATGAGCTTCCCCCATTTGGAGAAAGTCTATATTAAAAAAACAGCCTTGGAAGGAGAGGTCGCAGGCTGGAAACCCAGCCTCAAAAGATACCCAACATCTTAGAAGTTGGAAGGGCAGGAAGAAAAAACTACGTTGCTGATATGATTAAACTGGTCCTAAGAATTGGGAAGGAAAAATGCTTCCTCTACCCTCTTCAATGTTTGAGGGTCTGCAAATTAAACTGACAAAAGACAAATTAGCAAGAGAAAAGACATTTTTTATTCACGTGTATGTATATATGTGGGGGACTCACAGAAAACTGACTCAAGGAGGCAGTTAGAATTTGGAGCTTATATACCATCCAAATTGGGGAAGGGAGAGGGAGAAGGACACTTTAGAAAACGACTTCTTAATTGGGAAAGGGAGAGGGAAAAGGGCATTTATGGGAAAACAAATGATTTTTAGGAAAGATAAATGGGCCCTTAGGAAATAGATGGGAGATGTGATAGTTTTGTGACAATATCCATTTAGGTGTAATGCAAATGTTTCCTCCTCTCCAGCCACATCAAGTGCTCACCATGTGGTCGGGTGATAGCTACCATTTCAGACAATGTAGGTCTCCAGGGTCCAGCATTAGGAATTTTTTATGGACTCAAGGCTGTAAATACCCCTGCTTCTATAGTTGCATGTCTAGCAGGTCTAGAAATAAGTTACAGCAAGATGGGCAGTTCCTGGGAGTAGGTTATTAAGGTGGAAAATGTCAATGATAAGGCTACAGCCTCTAGGACATCTTTATGTGAATTAGAAAACACATTAGAAATTATAAATTAGGATTAAGCCTGTTTTCTAGTGGCTCAAGGCTTAATAAGAAGAAGGTAGTTTTGAACAACAGCAACAATAACACGCTCCCCTTCATCCAACAGTCGTGTATTAGTCAGGTTCAGTGAAGAAAAAAAAAGCTACTCCAGGTATTTCAAGTGAAAAAGATTTACTACAGGGGAACAGCAGCTTGCTCAAGGTCACACAGCTTAAAAGCAATAAACTTGACTCTTCTGGGATACAGGGAGAGAAAGAAGGGATGAGAAAGAAAGGAGAGCCAAGGACAGAGAGCGAGAAGAAAAAGATTGGAGCATCTACTGTGCCGATGGGAAGGGAATGAGTCAAGAGGAGTTTCAGGAAGCTGCACTGTGTGTTGTGAGACTCATAGAGATGCTAGTTTGCTGGCTTGTGTGTCGCGCATTCTCAGCATAGGCAGGTCTCAAAGTGGCCCTGTTAGAGTCAGGATACATTTTGGCCACTTGCTTCTGCACAGCCCAACTCTCTACTCACTCCTGAAAACTAGAGTCATTTTCCTTATGTCCCCTACAGTTTGTAACACAGTGCTGGGCACTGTGGTCATTCAGTAGATGTGTTAAGAGGTGAATGAATATAGATCTCCCCCAGGGCTGAATCTGGGCACCCAGGAGTATGACTTACCCTTGTCTTAGGGCTGAGAGCCCTACTGGATTAAGGTGTTGAAAGCCCCTCTGGTTGAGCACTAACTCAGGTATGGCAGACATTGCTACCAGCCATTGGCTCCCTTCCTTGCTAACTGAACGCCAATGTTGTTTGGGTAGTATGTGCCCAGCACCGGGAAGGAGATCATAATTAGTCTAAGCCAGTGATGGGCAATTCCATTCCCTTTTCCCAATGCTTGATTTTCCAGCCTCCCTTGCAGCTACAGGTGGTCAGGTGACCTAGTTGTAGTCATGGAGATATGGAGAACTCTGCCTGGAGGCTTTAGGGCAAGACAAGAAGGTATGCTAGGAGAAACACTCTGCCCTCACCCCCTATCCCACCCTCGCTCTACTGCATGCTTCTTAACTTAGAATTTGGTGAGAGAATAGGCGCTGCTAGCAAGGCATTTGCCAGCTGTGAAGAGAAGGTCAAGAGAACTGCAGATCTGCCATCACCCAAACAAATGCCAGCACCTCCTAGCTCTAGATTTCTTGATTCATGAGAAATATATGCCCCTATTTATTTAAGCCATAATTCCTTGGGGGTTTGTTTTGTTTTGTTTTGTTTTGTTTTTAAAGATTTTTATTGGGGAATCGGGGGAAGGGGAAAAGGCAAGTTTCTGTCCTTTTGTTCTTCAGTCTAGTTATGGAGGACGTTGCTTCACTGGCCTAAGTTGGCACCATCATTGCACTCTTCTCCGGTGAGGCTAACAGTCGCCGGCTTCTGGACGGCCACTCACAGCAGCTGCTGGCCACTCACGCTGGCTGCTGGCTACACACAGTAGCCCATGGCAACCCACTGCAGCAGGGGCTGCAACCTACGCCTTCGCCATCGACTCACAGCAGCCCAGCTCCAGGTTGAGCTGTTGTTCAGCATCTTAACTGTAGAAGGCAGTATCACTGGCCCTCATATGTGGGATCTGAACCGGGGCCCTCTGGTGTCCCAAGCCAGCTCTTAACCAACGCGCCACTCGGCAGGCCCTACTTGGGTTTTTTGTTACAGCTAAATCCAATCCTAACTCATAAACCTAATGGTTATTCAAAGGATTCATTGATCCTTGATCTACAGAAACCTGGGGCTTGGAGAGCATATCAGTGTCATTTAGTTCCCTCCCCCACATTCTTTGTGTGAATCTCCTCTCCAGCATTCTCGCTGAGGGGTCAGTGAACCCCCACTTGCACATCTTAGAGATGGGGACTACCTAAAGCGACCCAGGTTTGGTGGCTCCAGGGGACCTGACATTTTTATATGAAGCCACAACTAAATTCCCTGCAATTCCAGCCACTTGTCTTGGTGATGGATGATTGGGAAAGAACAGGAAATTGTAGAAAGGATGGCGGTGGTGATGGTGGTGTTAATAGATGGGTTTAGTGCCACCTTTTTGTGAGATTGGGCAAGGTACTTAACCTCTCTGAACCTCAATTTCTTGTATCTATAAAGTGGAGACAATAAATTCTCCCTCCTAGGATCACTGTGAGGATTTGCGAGCACAGTAAGCCCACAGCAATGTTAGTGGTCTGACCCTTTAACACGTGGGTTGTGTCCAATAGCTGTCACATCCTTGAGTTGGGGCCAGAAAAGGGGTGTGAGCCCAGGACAGGGGACAGGTAAGCTCTGATGCAGTGTAAAAAGTATAGGTCATTATAACTCCTCACCAGAGAAGTGAGTGTGTGTGTGTGTGTGTGTGTGTGTGTGTGTGTGTGTGTGTGGTGTGCACTTGCCTGCCTGTCTGAAAACTCCAGGGGCAAGGAGAGCATCCCAGGGAGGCGTGATTGCTCCCCAGCAATGGAGAGGTTCCCAGCCTGGCGGGGTCTGCTTTACAACCTCGTCTCCAGTCTGTCCAGCCTCATCCTGCCTTGCACCAGGCCCATCCCTCCTTCCTACATGATGCCTACCCTGTTGGGGCAAAGGTTTGATGGAACATAAAGGAAGGCGCTGATTCAGTAAAAACATCCAGGAGCCTAGAGAAGGTTTGCAGGAGGGGCTTTAATTGCCAAGAACCCAATCGGAAAATGGAGGTGCTGGTCAAGGAGTGGCCAGTCAGGTAGAGGTGCTGAAGGAGGTCCTTCTGTGTGCTGGGCTAGGGGCAGGGCTGGGTGGGCAGTTTCATTCCAGCGAGCGTCCAGTATCTTTGCAGAGGCCAAAGTTGGTGTTGGTGATGGAGCCCACGATGGACTTGTCCGCATCACAGGTCAGGCCCCGCTCACAAGGACACTTGTAGTAAACCCCATAGAGCGTCTGCAGAGACATGGAGCCAGGGGAATCACGGGCTGCGGGGGTGCTACTTTGGGCATCAATTGCCACCCGCCTGACCCCAAGAACTAGCAGCGGGCCATACTCCTTTCCGATGGTGCTTCTCCTGACTGCCTCCTTAGGGGGCGCTGTGGGCCCGGAGGACTCAGGTTCTGGTTTGTATTCTTGCTCATTCGCTTCTAACTAGATCTTCCTGGGGAGTCTCTGTTTACCCATCCATGAAATGGGACACCAAATCCCTGACCCCACCCACTTCACTGGTCAGCTGTGAGGGTCAAGAGAGACCATGGAATGGGAAAGTGCTTTGAAGCCTGTTGACCTCCATCTCTTTATCTCCTCAACATTTGAGGTCCAGGCTGACCATCCTCCCTGACCCCACTCCAATCCTCCAGGGCCTTCCTCGTCTGGACCGCCCCTCTCCCCTCCCACCACCACTACACCCAGACACCCCCGGCACCCACCTTGGCAGAGCACTCGCTGTTCTCGCTGGCCTTGGGTGCGCAGCGGGCCAGGCTCAGCCCGCTTGTGCGGTGGCAGCACTTGCTCTTGCACTGGGCGCTGTTCAGGCAGAGCTCGCCGTCCTCCTGCAGGGGCAGCCGGTCAGCCAAGCATCCCCGCCTTTGGTTCCTTGTCCACCCACACCTCCACCCCCCACCCACTGCCATGGACAGCGCCTCCTCTGCTGGGGCTGTGTGTGAAGGAGTCCAGCCCCTGGGCCCTGGTGGCCTCTCTGCCCACCCCCACCCCCACTCACTTAAGAAACATGCAGTGTAATGCCAGGAAAGCAGCCCCGGGCTGGGGGCAGGATGCCTGGGTTCCAGGGCTGGCTGCACTACCAAGTCCCTGGGTGACCCTGGGGAAGCCATCACCCCATCCTCTGCCTCAGTGTTCCCATGTGCACATGTGGCCCCAAACAGGGTCTCCAAACCTCCCTGGTCCCATGCCCTTTTGAGGACCATCTCCCTGGAAAACTCCCCCCAACCCCCCACCCACAGACTTTTACACATAATCTCAGGGGAAAACTGACTCCAAAGCCCATGCATGGTCCTGAGTTAGGAACATCTGGATGAGGTGGATGGCCCTGAAGGGATTTCCCAGGTCTGCTCTGGGTGGACAGATCGTGCAGGGCTGTGGAGAGTGTGGCTGGAACCACCTGCCTGGGCTCCACCCATGCTCAACACGTTCCAGCTGTGGGATCTCAGGCAGGTTGCTTAACATTCCTCCACATCAGCTTTCCATCGAAAATGGGGCTGATATAATAACACCTGTCTCATGTGGTTAGTATGAGGATTAAATGCATAAATATTCTTGAGGCACTTAGAACTGTGTCTGGCATGCAAGAAGTGTGTGCTTTATAGGTCAGGAGCCAGAATCACTGGGGGAGCTTTTTAAACCACTGGGTCTTCTGTGCCAGAGTTTCCAGGGAGGACCCATAAGTCTCTGGGTTTGTGTTTCTTTTTTATTTATTTTTTTTATTGGGGAACAGTGTGCATATCCAGGACCCATCAGCTCTGAGTCAAGTGCTTGTTTCAATCTAGTTGTGGAGGGCATTTTTCCAGGACCCATTAGCTCCAAGTCAAGTAGTCGTCTCAATCTAATTGTGGAGGGCGCAACTCAGTGGCCCATGTGGGGATGGAACCAGCAACCTTGTGAACACTGCGCTCTAACCGAGCTAACCAGCCGCCCCAGCTCTGGCTTTTTTAAAGCTCCCTCAGCCAGGTTGAACCACTGCTCTGAGCTTGCGCTATGCTGATCAGCCTCCCCTGGGGACCCTAAGGAAGAGACGCAGGGCAGGGCATGGGCAGTAAAAGAAGAGATGCCTCACCTCGCAGCCCCAGGTGGGAACATCAGAGGTCAAGAACAAAGCTTAAAAAACTCCCCCCTGGGGGTTCAGATGACTTTTTCCCTGAAGACCCTCTTACCAGGCTGATAATGATTCCCCGGGGGTCGGGAACCGCATAGGCTACAGCCAGGGTGACGAGCAGGAGGACAAGGATCTTCTCCATGATGAATGGGCAGGTAGGTAGCAGCCAACTGGTCAGGTGGCAGAAGACAGAGCCAGTTGGGATTGTGGGGCTATAAAAGGGGCCCTGTCCACATGTGACCCACCTTTTTCATCTCGCAGGGCCTGTCGTGAGCAGAGGCCCAGCTGTCACCAAGCTGTTGGGAGGGGCGGGGAGTTCCTGATAAGGTAAGTGAGCAGCAGCTGGGCACCTGGTACCTTTTGCGTGTGTGGGGTGGGATGGGGGGGGGGCGTGATATTGCATCATGGTTAAGAGTGTAGACTTTGGAACACTGTTACCTGTACAAGTTATTACATTAGCTGGGTAAGTGATCTGTTCTGAGTGTCAGTCTCCTTATCTGTCAACTGGGGATAGTTTCAAGAGTTGTGAGGGTTAAGTAAACAAAAGTGTGTTTATATATATATATATATATATATATATATATAGTATAGATTAATAGATAGAAGATAGATAGATAGATAGAGCTTAGAACAGGGCTTGGCACACGTAAGCAGTAAGTAAATGCTAGCTGCTCTTATTCACCTCTAGTGCCCTAAGCTCCTTCACAGGGCTGGGGATAGGGTGAGAGGGGCACCTGTGTAAGCACCTCTTTAAATTTACATCCTAGGCACTGCTCTTGCCTCTCCCTAGTCCAGCCCTGCTTTGGCCCCACCCAAACCCAGGTACCCGGCAGTGTCCGGCTCAGGTGAGGAGCGGTCCCAGCCTCCCCACTGGTCAACCTCCCCACTGATCAACCTTGGGGATGGTAGGACAGGCCCAGGTCCCTGGGGCTGACCAGCTCTGCACCCGGCTGGCCAGGGGATGTGTTCTCACTCTGGTGTACCCCCTCCTGCCTTCACACCAGGGGGCTGCCCCTGGAGTGATTTCAGGGGCCCTTAGGAAGTCCTCAAATGGTTCTTTCCAGTTTTCTCTCCACTTTACTTACTATCTGCAATTCCAGCATTTAAGACTCACCCCTTTAGTTCAGGCCCCACTCACCCTGTCCCCTACCCAAGGCCACGTGTGAGTGGGAGGGGGTCTGTGAGCCTCAGATAGCCCAGGGGCTGGAAGGTGGGAAGGGCACAGCTGCCCGAGTGTGCTCAGGTGTGAGACCACAGCAGCTTTCCCAGGAGGACTGGTCACTGCAGCCAGGGGCCCCTTCCCCAGCCTGGGAGGTGGACGATCGCTCCACTGTGGAGGCCCCAGGTTGGGTTGCTTTGAGCACAGCTTTGATCCAGACAGACTTGGCTTCAAAACTCAGCACTAATTAGCTACATGACCTTGGACCGGTTATTTAAATTTGTAAGCTCCCTGAGCCCCTGTTTCTTCATCTATCCAAGGAGGATGAGGGCTCCTTCATTAGGTCAAGATTGAATAAGACTGTATGTGGAAGCCCTGTGGAAGTGCCTGGCACTTAATAGATACTCAGCCTGAGTAATACCACCCCTTACACCACTGGAGGGTAGAATATAAGGGAGCAGCTGGATGAACCAGCCAGGAGACCCTCAAAATGAGAGAAACCCACCCAATTCCAGAGACACGGAAATACCGTTGATGAAAGGAACGCTGCCCTCTCTTATTTTTGTAGAACTCAGTGTGTAAAACCCCTTTTCCCATGAGCTCATTCGGGCCCTTTCTGCTCTCCCCACCCCCCTGCACCCCAATACTCCTGTGAGCTGAGCCACAGGGAAGGTAATTATGATTCCCTTTTCACAAGCCAAGACTAGGAGGCTGGGGAAGGAAGAGAAGAGCTATTTCTGTCTGTGAATGGAACTGTGAAAAATGCACCAGTCCTGTCTGCAGCTGATCACTGCTAACTTTCCAATGGAGAAAGAAGGGAGGTTCTTCCATTACAAATAGAATATAGCAAAGAGAACTTTAGCAATATTTATGCTTCCAAAAATGTAAGCAAGAATTAAGCACTTGTTCTACCAAAACCTCCTAAGATTTAACCACCCCTCCCCCAATCTGAAGAGTATTTTGCTTTGGGTTTTTACCTCTCAAAAAAGAACTGAGTTCTGGTTCCCACATGCAGTCATATGGGTTATGCTCACAAACATAATATCAAATGAGAAAAGCCACAGACAAAATTATACAGACACGGTCCGGCCGGGTGGCTCAGTTGGTTACAGCGCGTGCTCTTAACAACAAGGTTGTCGGTTCGACTCCCGCATAGGATGGTGGACTGCGCCCCCCTGCAACCAGATTGAAAGCGGCTACTGGACTTGGAGCTGAGCTGCGCCCTCCACAACTAAGACTGAAGGCCAACAACTTGACCTGGAGCTGATGGGTCCTGGAAACACACAATGTTCTTCCCAAATTCCCCAATAAAAATCTAAAAAAGAAAAAAGAATACAGACTGTATGACTCTATTTAAATGAAGTTCAAGAAGAGGCAAAACTAACCACTGGTGATAAAAGCCTGCAGGGTTGGTCTGGCCGAGTGGCTCAGTTGATTAAGAGCTCACTCAAGGGTGCGACTTCTGAGCAACAGGGGTTCGAGTCCCGGCCCGAGCTGAGCTGCTGCTGAGCTGCCAAAAGGTGGCAGGATGGCTCAGCTAAAAAAAATAAAAATAAAAAGTAAATAAATAAATAAATAAATAAATAAATAAAGCCTGCAGGGTTTCTTCTGGGAGGGATATTGACGGTAGGTGGGGGATGGGGGGAGGTGAGCCCCTCCTGGAGTCTTGGAATTGTTTTAAATCTTGATCTGGGGTGTCAACAGCACATATATAAAAATCTGCCTAGTAGTGCGCTTAAGATTTGAGTATTTTACTATATGTAATGTTGATACTGTACCTTGATTAAAAAGCAAACAAACAAAATGGAGCAAAATTCTCCCTGGTCAAGTTTTACCACCTGGGGTGGTGGGGGTTGATGTTACCATGCCTCCTGCCAAGTGGGGTTGGGATGCAGTGGCTGTAGACCTAGAGATGTGGCCAACTGCTCTTGGGTGTCTCCCAGTTTCCAGTCTCCAAGATCTGCCCCAGACACATGAGGGTGGGTGGGCCTCTGGCATCCACACTAGGAAATGAGCCCATCTCTGATCCCCACAGCAGATTCGATAAGGGACGGACATTCAAGCCCGTCTCCTGGGATATAGACTTGTACCCAACATCTCGCCTTCAAGCTGATCTGAAACATGGAAGTAGGGAAGCCCAAGAAGGCAGTTTTCTGATGTGCTGACGAAGAAATGAACACTGGTCTGCAGAGGGAAGGAAGGATGGATTAGCCATTCAGGAAGAAGCAGTGGCAGCCATGCCCTGACTTCCTGATGGATTTCTAGGTCCTGGTCTCACACACATACACACACAGAGACACAGACACACCCTTCTCATGATGGGCTGAATTCCTGCCCCATGGGGCCTGAAATGCCCCCTGTGTTCCTATAAAACATCCCCTTTGCTTAAGCTACAGACATAGATGTCTCAGTTCTGGGAGGAGCTCACAGCTCTGGGTCAAGGTTCGATGTGTGACAACCCTGGAGTCAGAGCAGGGAGCAGACAGGGAATCCAATCAAGAATCAAATTCCCCACAGAGACACTTAGCCTGTGTCCTCCAGCCCCCTACCCATGATTTGCACTGGGCAGAGGCATAAGCTGGCTGTCTCACGGCAAATGTTTCAGTTTCTAAGAGATGTCAAACTGCTTTCCAAAGTGACTGAATCAAAGTGCATTCCCACCAGCAATGTCAAGTTTCCAGTGGCCCCTCATCCTCACCAATACTTGGCAATGTCAAGTTTTTAAAAAAAGTTTTTTTAATTTAGCATTTCTGATAGGTTTGCAATGATACGTCATTGTGTTTAATTTGCATTTCCCTACTGACTAATGATGTTGAGCATTTTTTATGTACTTAACTGCCATCTATATACCTTCTTTGATGAAATGTTTGTTCAGATCTTTTGCCAGCCAATTTTTAATTGGGTTGTTTGTTTTCTTCTTTTTTTTTTTAATTGGGGAGTTGGGGGAGGGGAACAGTGCTGGGGAATTGGGGAGGGGTACCAGCCAAGTTGTTGTTCTTCCATTTTCGTTGTGGAGGGCACCAGTCGCCATCTGGCTGCCCCTCGGCAGCTTGTGGCCTCTAAGCTCAAGGTGTTGTGTTACAATCTTAGTTGTGGGTGGGCATAGCCACCATCTGATGCGGGAGTTGAACCAGGCAGCCTTGTTGTTAAGAGCACACGCTCTATCCACTGAGGCATCCTGACGGCAGCTCAGCTCAAGGTGCCAAATTCAGTCTTAGTTGTGGGCGGGCATAGCCCACCATCACACAGGCAGTCTTGTTGTTAGGGAGCATGTGCTCTCACCAGCTGAGCTATCCTGCCACCTGTTGGCAGCTCAGCAGCAGCTCAGCTTGGGCTGGGCATAGAACCACTGTTGCTCAGAGCTCGCACCCTTGAGCGAGCTCTTAACCAACTGAACCACGTGGCTGGTCCCAGGTTGTTTGTTTTCTTATTATTGAGTTTTTAAGAGTTATTCAGGTCACACCGGGGGGCTCAAAATTTGTTGAGGTTGTTGGGAGCCAGTGATTGGCTGTGTCGGCCTTGGTGGAAGTTGCATCCACCGTCGCCGTCTGTCTCACGATGGACACTTGTTATGAATCTTTGAGCCAGTGTGTGGTGCAGCTGTGGTGGGCTGCTGAGGAAGGAGGCTAGCTAGCGTGTGTAGAGTGAATTGTCCTATCCATCGGATGTTAAAAGCCTTTACAGTGACAGGCCTCTGGAGAACGTTCTCATAGGGCTCAAATACTCTTTGGTTTTGCTCCTACTCCGAGGGCTCCATCTACCCACCCATTACTCAAACTCTTACTTAACCCTCCCAGCTTACTCTGTCCAAGATGATGATCACCTAGCTTGCCCACGAAGTAGTGTTCGTCTGTACCTCAGGCCCTCTCTCCTTACAGAAGAGGTGGTGTATTTCGTGCCACAAATTACCACACACTTGGGGGCTCGAAACAACAGAATTTTGTTCTCTTGCAATTCTGGAGGCCAGAAGTTGAAATCAAGGTGTCAGCAGGGCTGCACTCCTTACAGAGGCTCTGGGGGACAGTGTGTTCCATGCTTCTTTTAGTTTCTGGTGGTCACCAGCTTCCTTGGCTGTGGCCACATCACTCCACATCATTCTGTGGTCATGTCGCCTTTCTTTCTGTGTCTGTCTTTTCCTCTGTGTGTCTATTAGTAGGACACTTGTCACTGGATTTAGGACCCACACCCCAGATAATCTGGTAGGCTCTCCTTATCTCAAATTCTTTAATGTAATTGTATCTGCAAAGAAGCCTTTTCCAAATAAGGTAACATTTACAGGTTCTGGGGATTAGGATGTGGATATTTTAGGGATAGTTATGGCACTTGAAAGTCTATCTTCCATAAAGATTTTTCCTTCCCCGCTGTCCTCAGGGCCACCCTGTGAGGGAGTGTCATGCCACAGAAGTCCCTGCTAACTGGTGCCAGTACCCCATTAGAACTCTCTTGAGAGCAGGCAGAGGAAGGGGCTTCCATGGGGAGAGAAGAGGCGCACCTTCCCCCAGGACTCACACAGCAGGATATCACCCCCACATAGGAAGGAGGTTAGGGTGCTGGTCAGCCAAAACCCAAACCAAACAATGTGACAAATGTCCAGTAGAGACAGGAGTCACCACCCTTGCATCTTTCGAGTCATTGATAGTGATTAATGTCTATAGCTCCCCTGGTGACATAAATACTGTTTTTGGTGTATTATTTGGAGAGCGAGAGTGAGCACCAAGGGCTTTGGCTTAGCTCTTCCTGTTATATTAACCTTTAGCTCAAGGGTCAGGGGGGCCAAAGGGAGGATTCCGCCAGTCCGTGAGGTGACCTGGTCTAACTAACCATTCAGGAACCTGGGGTGGGTTCCCGGCCTCGCAGTTCAGTACTATCACACTCTCTGAATCTTATTTTAATGGTCCTATAGCAACCAGCCTTAACAGGTTCTTTGAGCCATATCACATAAAGGTCTTGAAGCTCATTTTATTCCTTGAATTAATCATGTAGATTTGAGCTTGCCTTGCTTGACATTATTCAATGCCATTGTAAGCAGCCACCCCATTCTGTGTTCCTGATTTCTTTGTTCCCTATGAGTCTGTCTATGGCCAAGTCCACTCAGTTCCCCAGAAAGTGACCTCAGAGGGCACGTGGCCCCTGGTGTTTGCAGTTGGTAACTTGATTAGCTGTGTTTCCTCTGTGTGCCATGGACTGCTGTTTTCCCAATTCCGACTATAAATAGGAGTCTCAGAGCCTTTTTGCCTGAAGCCTGGGCCTGAAACCGCTTTTTCGATGCCAATATTTGGATCAGTTGGGGCTCTTTGGTACAAAACCTACTCTGGCTAATGAAAGCAAAAGGGAAAGAAATGGAAGGACACTGGGTTGTCCCCAGAGCTGAAGAAGGAACAGGGCAACCAATCTTAGGTCTGAAGCTCCCAGTAGCAGGAGCTCATGGATTGTTTCTTGAGGATGTGCCATGGCATAAACTGTTTTCCCTCATGTCAATCCACCACCAATTCATATTTCCTAGCCCTGTCTTTAGGGTATGCATGCCCTGTGATTGGCTGTCCCACCGGAACCTCAGGAAGCAAGAGAGGGTGCTCTCAGAGGCCAGGGAAGCTATGCTGAGCAGGCCAAACAAAGGGCGTCCACTAGCCCCTAAGAGCTTGGCCCCAGCCTAAGGCCTTTTCTGAATGGAAGAAGAAACCTGCTGTGGGGAAGCTCCCAGTGTGATTGATGGTGGAGACACAGACTGTGCCCTCGATGAACCTCCTGTCTGATGGTGAAGACTGGTCACAAACCCAGAGATTTAAGAGAAAGAGGAAACATAGGTAATGACACAAATATATTCAAGGCAGGGTTTTTTTTTTGTTTGTTTTTGTTTTTGGCTTTTCACTATTTATTTATGGCAAATATTCTCCATCTGTGATCCTCTCCAGTCAGAAGTTCTTTGAGACGATGCCATCAGCCTTGGCCAGTTGGAGAATGGAGTGATCTGACTCGCCCATCCTGCAAATGGCCCCGCAGATGGCATAGGTTTTAAACTGGCCGTTGAACCTGTCTGTCACCTTGTCAAGGGTTCTTTTTAATAGTGAAAAACCAGAAACTGCCAATACACCCCCCAAAGGGGAAATGATTAAACAGTTATGATACAAACATTAAAATACAATTTTTGAAAAAAATTGCATACTAAATTGTATAAACATTATCATCCTACTGTGTAAAACAGTATGTGCAGAAGGAGAGAACTACACTAAAATGTAAACAGAGGTAATAATAATAATAATAATAATAATAATAATAATAGGAAAAAGGAGAAGAAACATTTTTAGCACTTTTATATGTGAGGTTCTGGGCTAAATAGCTTATACATGTTATTTTATCAGGCCTTTATGTGATAGGTATTATTATTATCTCCTTTTTATAGATGAAGAAACTGAGGCTCAGGAAGACTAAATCCATGAATGGTCACTTAGTTAATAAGTGGCTGACTCAAATCCAGATCTGTCTAAAGCCAAAGTCCATCTTTTTAAGATCATCTTGTCTCTCCTTAGCTCTTGATGTTGGGGTTATGAGTAACTCTGTAACTTTCCTGAATTTCCTAGTTCTCTACGCTTACCATATATTTACCTATACAATCAGGAGAAATATATATATATTTTGAAAAACAGTGGCAAAAGAAATATGCAAAAAAAACATAAACAAGAGGAGAAAGACATTATATTGAACAAAAATCATACATTAAGGTCCAAAAAGGCCCATAACGAATATGAATTTTGTAGTTGCTTCTGTTATTACACTACCAGCCTGCATATATATATATATATATATATATATATATATATATCGGGGGTGTCAAAAAAAATGTACACAAGTGGACACTTTGGTCATTGTTGCTCAAGCAGTAGTTTGCCGTAATCAGAAGTGCCTGGACACTGATGGTAACCACTTTGAACACCTCTTGTAATTGCAGAAGTCAAACTTGACTTGTATTCATCTTTTGTTATCGGTATATATTGAGTATTACAATTTTACTACAGTTTTCCTCTCTTAAAATGTGTATACATTTTTTTGGCACCCTCTGTATATTTACACGTATGTATATATGTATACATATATAATGTATTTATACATAATTTTAAAACGATATATTTATAAATAATTTATTAAAAATATATAGCATACACATATACATATATGTAAATATCTCACTGTCTTTGAGAGCAGAGGCCCTGCCCATTTTATTTCTGTGGTTCTTGCTTAGGGAAGATATCCTCCAATATAAGGTTAGCACATAGTAGGGTCTTAGTAGCTGTTGATCGAATGATAAGGACTAGAAACCAGTGACGGGAAGATACAGTCAGAAAAGGCTTTTTCTGGCCTCCGGAAGAGTGGAGGTTACGGGAAGGTGACATGGGAGCCAGGGAGGGGATGGCGCTCAGGAAGCAGTTTTGCGGCAGGAATTGAGCGGGAGGAACGTGACAGCTGCAGTGCTACCCTCCCGATTCTTGTCATCCTCACTCAGGTGAAGAGGGGTCTCGGTTCTCTGTGGCGGGGTATGCGGCGTGTGTGTCGGGAGGCTCCCCGCGCCTCCCTCAGGCGGGGTCTGTCCTTTCCTTCACTGGGCGCCTCCCGGCCCCGCCTCTCTTCCAGTGTCCCGGGGCGCTGGCCGCGGTGCTGAAGCAGCGCTCTCCGCGGAGAGAGGGAGGAGGGGCCGGGCGAAGGGGGCGGAGCCCTCTGGAGCTCTGAGCTGGAAACCAAGGAGGGGCAGGGCGGCGCCAGCAGGCCCAAGACCCTAGCGGGCCTGAGAGGAGGCAGGAGACCAGAGAGCGCTCAGCTAGAGCGAACACAGGCACCTAGACAAGTTTCCCCTGAAGAAGCCAAGGTCGTCCTCCTTGTCATATTAATCGTCTTTCCTCTACCTTGGAGGGACCCTCAACTTGCTCCCTGACTTCAGCCTCCTACCCAAAGCTGCTGAGGAGTGAGTGACCTGCTTCTGGGCCTCCATCCGCACAGCCACTGACTTCCAGCCCGTAGGCCTCTAGCCCAGGCCCCCGCGCCCTCACCATGGTGAAGTTGCTGCCTGCCCAGGAGGCATCCAAGATCTACCATACCAACTATGTAAGGAACGCGAGGGCGATTGGTGTGATGTGGGGCACGCTCACCATCGTCTTCTCCATACTGGTCATGGCCCTCTTCATCCAGCCATACTGGATTGGTGACAGTGTCAACACACCCCAGGCAGGCTACTTCGGCCTTTTCTCCTACTGTGTGGGCAACGTGCTGTCCTCAGAACTCATCTGCAAGGGTGGCCCACTGGACTTCGGCAGCATCCCCTCTAGAGCTTTCAAGACCGCCATGTTCTTTGTGGCCTTGGCCATGTTCCTCATCATTGGCTCCATTATCTGCTTCAGCCTGTTTTTTGTCTGCAACACGGCCACGGTCTACAAGATCTGCGCATGGATGCAGCTGGCTGCGGGTGAGCAGGGATGGGGGAGGGCAGGCAGGGGCCCACCCAGGCCACAGGTGCAGCTGCACCATCCCATCCACTGTGGAGGCTGTGGGTCTCCTACTCAGCTGTCCTCCGTTAGCCCAGCCCTACTCAGTGCTCTGTAGAAGCTTCTGAGGAGTAGATATCTTAGAATGGCTGAGACGGAAAGGACCTTAGAGATCAAATTGTTCCAACTGCCTCATCTCACAGATGAGGAACTAAAGTCCAGAGAGGACTTGCCCAGGAGCACATAGCTAGTTGGCAGAATAACTCAGGTGTTCTGACTCCAAGGCCACACCAGAGGTTGTTGCTGCTCTGGGAGGAAGAAAGAAGGAAGCTTCCATTGTCGGCCATGTGGGCATAGGACCCAACTGCAAGGCAAATTAGTGGTGCTGGTCAAACACACCCTAGACGTCCCCATCTCCTACTTCTGGGCACTTATTCTTTCTCCAGATCCCTGCCCTCACTCTTCCTTACCTCCCTCACTCCTTACCTCGCACCCCAAACTGCTCTCAGGGGAGATTCTCAGGTCAGTCATTGATTTGGAGTGCTAGGTTGCATGGGACCCCTCCCATAGAAACTTACATTTAAGTTCCTCTTTCATTGTGGAGTGAGAGTCCTTTTTCCCTAATTATAGGATTCTGTACTGGAGGTAGCAAGTGGGGGTGACATTTTGTTAGGCAGATTGGGGGTGCTGTCTGGGGTTTTTAAGACTATGTGCAGTAGGTGGGTGCTTGTGGTGCTCAGCGGCAAGCTCTTCCCTGCCCCCCTTTCCTGCTCCTGGCCCAGACAGGCCTCTCAGTGGTCCAACTGGTCCAGCTGGTCCTACTCTCATCTACAGCCAGGAAGAGATGGCCTCAGACTTTGTCCTGAAGCCTTTGGTTCCTCCCCACCCCAAGGACTGCACATAGACTGTCCATAGTGGGAAGATGTCCCGGAGCAGTGCTGGGGACTGCAGAACAGGATGAAACCATCTTGACATCGTTGGTTAGAATGAGAAGCAGTGTTATCCTTAACAGGGGGAAGGATCCCTTAATAGGGATCCGAATCCCAGGAAACTAAACATGTAGACTCAAGACTGTCAGAGTTGGAGGGGACCCCAGAGAGTAATAGACCTCGTGCCCCCCAACTATAGATGAGAAACCTGGGGCTGAGAGGGTTGATAAGATTTGGCCAAACTACAGCTGATCAACTGTCAACTAAGGACCTAGGAGAATTAAGGCAGAAACTAGATGTGTTTCAAAGACATTTTTGTTGAGCCACACATTTACATAAGTATAGTGACTTGCAGAATACCTTCATATATATGATCTAGAGCAGTGGTTCTCAACCTTCTTAAGGCTGCGACCCCTTAATACAGTTTCTCATGTTGTGGTGACCGCCAACCATAAAATGATTTTCGTTGCTACTCTATAACTGTAATTTTGCTACTGTTATGAATCGTAATGCAAATATCTTTTTGTTTTCCGATGGTCTTAGGCGACCCCTGTGAAAGGGTCATTTGACCCCCAAAGGGGTCGCGACCCACAAGTTGAGAACCGCTGCACTAGAGGAGTCTCATCATGAGGCAGTGAGGTGGGAATTCTTCCCATTTTACAGATAAGGCTCCTCGTGGGTAACTTGTCTCCGAGCACACAGGTAGTGAGGGACAGAGCTTCGATTCCAAATTTATACCCTGGCCTCTCACCTGGCCCTGGAGCTGCCTCCCCAATCCCCCTACCATCTCCCTCTCCTCTGTATTCTCACTATATGATGAGGGAAAGGCTGGGGCAGGGGTGAGGCAAGTCTTGGTGGGCGGCGGAGAGAAAGAAGGCGGGATGAAGATTTAGCGGTTTTGTGACAAAGAGGAGCAGAATGGACCCTGGCATGCTTGCCAGCTGGTCCTGCATATCAGAGTTATAGATTCTAGAAACATGTCCATCCCTCTCTCATTCTCTGCACTGTCCCCTCCTCCAGCCTCGCACAACACGTGTCATTTGCTGAACAGGCAGTGCTGGGAGGGTCTGGGTGGGGAAGGGGTTCTCAGGCCACCTGAGCCAGACTCTTTCTGGGTCATGGAGCTGGAGACACTGTTAGCAGAGGCGCCAGGTGCCATCCCATGAAACATTTATGTTGGGGGAGAGCAAAGGCGGTGTCACGTTGCATTCTTCAGTGCTGGGGAAGGGAAGATGAGCCAAAGGGAGCGATGAGGAGGGGGTATGCCCCACAGCTGGCAGCTGGGAGATGCAGCCATTTGAAGAGGCCTAAACCAGTTAGCTTGACCTTGCCTGGAACCAAGGAAGGGAACAGGAGAAGGGGAAGAGAACTGATGGCTGAGGCAGAGTGGGGCTGTCGCTTAACAATATGAATTAAGCTTCTGGATGCCAGGTTTAGGGCGAGTGTGGTGCCAGCTCCTAGAAGCACAGGTTGGGCAAGTTGCTTATCTCTGAGTTACGGTAACCTCATTTGTAGGATGTAGCAACAGTACCTCTATCACAGGGTTCTTGCAAGGATGGGATGATACAATGCATGCAAAACACTTTGCACGGTGCCTGACATGTGATAGGTGCTCAGTAAATGTGAAATTCACAAAAAACTTTATCAGTCAGGATGGGTGAAGTGATACCACAATAACAAACAACTCCCAAATCTTAGTGGCTTAACATAAAGGTTTATTTCTTGCTCAGGGTACATGCTCACTAAGGGTCAGCTGGGGCTGTGCCCTCACTGTTCCCTTCTGGAAGCCAGGCTGATGGAACACCATCACCTGTCATTACAGAGGGAACGGGAGCTCTGGAAGGTCTCCCACCAGCAGTTAAATGCTCTGGCCTGGAAATGCACACCACGCTTCTGCTCACATTTTATCGGCCAAGGGGAATCAGATGGCCTTGCCTAACTTCAAGGGACGGGGGCAAGGAAGTATAACCCTCCTGTGTACCCGGAAAGCTTGTGAACAGCACTCATGACAGTCACCCCCACTAAGGTTGCCCCCCTCTGACTTCAATGACAATAATAAGAGCAACAACTCGCATGAGTTGGTCACTTACAATGCACCAGACATTGCAGTAAGCATTTTCTCTACATGATCACACTTAATCCTCATAGCCCTGCTATGAGTCAGGTATTATTATCCCTGTCTTACAGATGAGAGAACAAAAGTCAGACAGGGTACGCAAACTTGCCTAATACCATGCTGAGAGCCCTGAGACACCACATATGAGGTTGACCCCCACTGTGCCCAGGACCAGGGGTGGATGGGTGGGGTGCTCACAGAGGGCTGTGGTGCCCTTAGTAACAGCCTGTTTCCAAGTCAGAGGCCCTGGGCTCTTTTCCGGAGACCTCACAGGGAGATGCTACGGAAGGGAAAGAGGCCAAGGGGAGGAGCGATGGGAAAAATGGAAAGTCCAGATGGGAGCTCCTTTCCACATTCACCCATTCACCTATGCGCTGAGCATGTGTGTGTGTGTGTGTGTGTGTGTGTGTGTGTGTGTGTGTGTGTGTGTCTCTTCACCCCCCACCTCCTCCACCATTAAGCTAGGGGCCATGCCAGCCACGAAAGGCTGGTCTCAAACCAAGAGGGGAAGGCCACAGGTTTTACCAAAGAGCTCTGGGAGGGCTCCCCTTCCCCAACTTAAGTATCTTTCTGAGACATTTCTCTGTTTATCACTAAGTCTGAACTATCACCACTAAACACATTCAGCTCTTTGGAGAGACGTCGCAATCTGGGGATAGGGGAAAATAACTTTGAAGTTAAGAAAGTCAGGAGCCATGAGTTCAGGTCTTGGGTCTGCCATAGCTGGAGGAGTGGGCAAGTCACTTCGTTCCTCTGAGATCTCAGTTTTCTAATCTGTAAAATGGGACATTAATATATGGCCTATTTCACAGGACTGTTGTCAGGATCAAGAGAAAAACTGGTACTTGAAGTATTTTGTGATCTGTAAAAAAACTATATAAATGAACTCCTCCTATAAAAAAAATCAAAGGAGGGTTGATTCACTTAGGCGGGGAGGTGGGACCCTGATCTTCACATCCTGACTGTGCATTTGTTTGATCTGCTGACATTTCTTGCAAGAACAAGCGGAGTTTCCGGCAGATAACGTTGGGTCCTGCGAGTTGCTTCTCTGAGCGGCCTCCCAGGCAGGGACAGCCTTGGGACTAAACAGCCTCCAGCCTATAGAAGCAGGGCCAGGGGTGGGTAAGCGGCACAGATAAGGGAAGGCACTCCCTTCCTGTGTGGTGGTTGCAGTTGGCACTACCCTGGTCACATCCCAGGATTATGTCACCTGTCTGTGCAGCTAAGGTGGGATGATTTGGTGGGAAAGCATGGGAGAAGGGGGGGGGGGAAGTGGGGAAGATGGAATTTTTAGCTGTAAATACTGAGTCAATAAAAGCATAGTGTGGGATAATAGCTGCCAACACTTGTGAAGTGCCAAGTATGTGCCAGGCACTGTGCTGAGCCCTTTCCCAGTAATAACTCATCTGAACCTCACTGCAATCTGAATAGGTAGATGCTAATATAATCCCAATTTCACAGATGAGGAAACTGAGGCAAAAAAAGAACAGCTTAAGTAGTTGGCTCCGAGTCACATGACTAGTCAGCAAAGAGCTGGACTTGAAATCCAGGCAGCCTGCTCCAGTGTTTCCCGGCTTTTCCTCTTGAGAGAATCGCCTTGGAAGAGTGCTTTTCCTGAGAGTGGGGTTCCTGAGCCTAACCCTGACCTGGGAATCAGCATTTTAAGCAGGGCATTCTTAATTCAGGGGAGTGTGGTGACTGCACTATGCCGTACTGGGTGAGGATGAGGAGACCTGATTGCTTGAATGGAAGGTTCGTGGAGGAAGTAATCAGAGATGGGCGGGAGTACTTCTTGTATCCATTGAATCTAAGATACCCGAGTTATAGGACACATCATTATTCTATGTCCTGTAAAAAGGGAAAACACTTCCAAGGAAACCATGGCCGAAAGCTTTCTTATTACACTGATATCAGAGAAGTGTAACAAGAACAATGTACATTTTAGGACTGATGGGTTCTCGGGCCTGGGACCAGCCAGAGTCGGCAGTCCCAGTCAAGCGCAACGTGAGGAGCTGGCCAGGGGCTGGTAGGACTGCCTGGCACGGTGGGGTGACCCTCCTGGGCTGAGGAGCCCCGCTCTCTGCCCACTGGCTCCCAGGGGCAAGCTGCTTTAACTTTTGGAGCCTCGGTTCCCTCCCCTGTGCTCTACAAGGATGGTAGGAGCTGCCCCTTGTGCCTTTCAAGGCTGTCAACACAAGGATAAAGGAGGTGACACAATGACAGCAATGCAAGGCAGGAGGCGGCAGGCTGAGCACACCCAGCCTGACACCTCTGCACCCCTTCCTGCCCCCACAGCCACAGGTCTGGCGATTGGCTGCCTGGTCTACCCAGATGGCTGGGACTCAAGCGCGGTGCGAGGCATGTGTGGGGAGCAGGCGGGCAAGTACACCCTGGGCCAGTGCACCATTCGCTGGGCCTTCATGCTGGCCATCCTGAGCATCGGAGACGCCCTCATTCTCTCGTTTCTGGCCTTCGTGCTGGGCTACCGGCAAGATAAGTTGCTCCCTGATGACTACAAGGCCGATGGACAAGGTAACTTGCCCTCCCCAGGGAGGTGGGGCTTCCAGTCAGCCACTCACTGAGCTTGGCCCCTGGCCAAGACTCCGAGACCAATCAGACACGGCCCTTGTCTTCTTAGAGGCCAAAGGCCAGTGGAGGGTGGCAAACTGGCAGGTGATGAGGTGCTGACAGACCTGTGTGACACAGGCTGTTGGTGATAGAAGGGTGTCTCCTGCCACCTGCACCCTCAGGGGCCACAGGGGAGGGAGCCCTGATCCAGCCTGGGGAGCCAGGCAGGGCCTCCCATAGAAAGCAGCACTGAGCCTGGGTCTTGACGTGACACCGGGAGTTTGCTGGGTGGACAGAGGAGCAACTGGGCAGCAGTGAGGGTGAGTTGATGGGGAAGGAGGAGAAAGGCGGTCAGGGTGCCGATGTGACAGCTCCCAGACTACAGGTGGTGGGAGCCCGAGCTCTGGGCTTAGGGAAGCCTTGGGGTTCCCCGTATGCCCATCCTGTTTCAGTTCCCTCTTGTGCACATCCTAACCCCTCAGCCATAAAAGTCCGCTGAGCTGTCCCTGGAGGCCCAGGCGGGCCCTTCAGGAAGCCTCCTCAGGCAGCTTCCATCGCCTGCCCTTCCTCCTCGGGCACTTTCTGCTCCTGTCTCGCCTTAGGCTCTTCTATCTTGATGAGCTAACTTATTCAGCACATACATTTCAACTCCCAGTCATGGGTAAGGCCTGTCTCACACCCTTGTGAATCCCAAAATGCCTGCTCCCAGTGGCCACTGTGAGGGGCCTGTCACCCCTCAGAGACCTCTGAAGCCTCCCTCTCCATAGTTGTTTCATATCACACCTTGGACCCGAACAAGAAGAAACAATCAAACTCCCCTATCCCGTGTGATCAAGAGCCCTTCCCAGATGAGGAACTCGAAGCCCGGAAGGGAGACCACCTGGAGGTGCACAGAAAAATCGTCGCATAGACGAGGCCAGAACTCAGATCTCTGGCCTGAGAAACTCACAAACTTATGTGGTTAAAGAAGGAAACCCAAGTACCAGAATGAGCTAGCCCAAGGACGAGGGAAGAGAGAGGTTTCTATTGCAGTGGATTCCTATAGCTCCTGGCTGGGAACGCTTGGGACCTTGGTCCCTCGCGGGCCCCATCAAGGGAAGAGAAATGGAACTGAGCCTCTTTTATGTGCGGGAGTGATGTCAGGTTTGTTCAGAGGGGCCATTTTTATTGAATCTTCCTAGCAACCTTGTGAGGAAAGGTTGGAGGTGGGATTCCAGCAGCAATCTCAACAGCCAGTACTTTCTGCAGTGAGGGCAGTTCTCCCAGGGAGGCCTCAGCCGGAGCTGCTGGAGACGGGGCGTCTCACTCTCAGTCATAAGGCAGGGCCACCCTTACACCTGCCTGGACACACACACACACACACACACACACACACACACACACACACACACACTTTTATATCACTTATTTGCACTCTCTCTTTTTCAGAAGGGACTCTTTTAGCCAGTAAGAAATTTTGCTCACATAAGTCCTCCTGAGAGTGCTTTCTTACAAAGAGATGGTTTTGTTCCTTTGACACTTTCTTACTAATCAAAATGTCAATTCACTTTCCCTTTCTTCCTTGTCCCTCTCCTTTCATATCCCATGCACCTTGTCTCCAGTCTTTTGAGGTGTTTGTCCTCAATGTACTGTAGTTTTTCCTCTCCGTACAGGATTTAATTTTTCTTTTTTGCTTATTACCTGTTAGGAAGCACCCACAGAACCTTTCTGAATACATCTAACTATTCAATGAAGTAGTTATTGCTTTTGTCAAAGCACAAAATTGGGTCAGGGGAGCAGAGTTTGAGTCCCAGTTCTTCCACGTCACTTTACTGCAGTGTTCTTTCAAGGAAAAGGGGGACGCCAAGCCCTGCTCTGCCACCTCCATTATTGTGTGGCATAAAGGAAACAATGAAATGAAGCCTTGCACAAGTATATAGTTGCTAATCTACTCTTTAGGCATTAAGGAGGCAGAGGAAAATGAGGACAGCCTTTGGAGTCAGAACTGGGTTTAAAATTTTGGCCCCATTGTTAACTAGCAGAGGTTACTTAACTTCTCTGAGTCTCAATTGCCTTGTCTGAGCCTCATTTCCGTGGGGTAGGAGGCAGGTTTTTTCCTGATTTGTAAAAAAAAAAAAAAAA